CTCATAGATTTTCCATTCAATATCGTAGGATAAAAGTCTAACATGATTATATCCTGTTTGTTTTTTTTAATCATTTCATTATACATACTTCGCATACAAATTGAAATATGTATGAATGAGAACATTCTGTTAGTTTAGTGGTTGATTTTGGTGCTTATATTATATCTGAGTCTCAAATTCTAATTAATTTTTTTCATAGTATTACTTTCATTAATATACACTTAACACAAATCTTGTACCATAGAAAGTCGACCGATCCGAAGAGTTACTGGTTTTAGAAAACAATCCATTGTGTTCAAAAAGTTTTTTGGTCTTAAGAATTTTTCAGAAGTTATTTCTGCCGTTTTTATATAAAATGAATTATTTTTCAAATTGTAAAAAGCTCCATATATAAGATTCTACTTAGCTTACAGACCAGTGATGGGATCGGTTCGGTTTTAAACCGAATCGAACGGAACGGAACCGATTTCCATCCAAATATATATTTAACTTTGTCAGAATGCTCTTACATACATGTTTATTTGTTATTCTTCTCTCCTCTTATTTCTTTCTTTCTCTTTTCTCTTCTACTTTCCTATCAGGTCGTGATAATTTCAATAAATTATCACTCTTCTTGTGTTCTAAATGTAAGGGCATTCTAATAAAAGAACACGTTGGACGTCATCTTCTTTATATAAAATTGGAGTAGAGGACACTTATTCATCTCTCTTCTTGTATTTCACTTATATGTTTGTCTCACTTATGTATGAAGATGTATGTATATGTAATAGAAAAAAGGAAAGATAATAATTCGAATAAAATTGAATTTCGACTGAATTGAACCGAAGATTTTACAAACATCAAGTTTCGTTACAGAGAAAAGGATCTGTGATAAACATATTTACTAAGAGTGGATAAAGAAAGTGTAGCAAATTTCTTAATTTTACTCAACTACTCATTAGTTTCATTCAGTGCGCCCTTTTACAGACCGCATTTCAGTATGAAGCACTCATATATATATATATAAATAAGTATCAATTCATTGTTATGTTGTAATAACTCTTAGCTGATGACAAAAACATTACTTTCTTTTTAACGTTCAAGGAATACATAACAATGAACATTTAAGTTAAGAAAATATCACCCAAATGGTATTTCGAAATAGATCGATCAGCAAAGCCTGTGAATGTCACTGAAATTGTCCATTTTGCAATGATGGGTAGTTTATGTCTGTCAATTTTAGGTGCTCTTTGTCATGTAAGTCTTGTAAGTTGAGCGTCAAACTGGATTTAATAAGGTAGTAAATAATTACTGTAAGATATTACGTAATATTTTTCTATTAAAATGAGTGTATCATATAAAATGTAGTTTCTATATATCTGCACTGAACGACGATAATAAATACCTTGAACGGCTCTTGATTAGAAAAAAAAAGTTGACTAATCACTGAAAATGAACTAGTCTTCTATCATCGAAAATTTCTTTTATTTTGAAAACGAAAATACTCATGTACTTAACATTATTTCTACTACAAATTTCTAGTTCGTTTTTGGAATTATTAATGACCTTTTAAGCATATCTTCAATAAAGGTTTTTAGGGGAACATTCTTAGAAAAAAATAAAAGCTTTTAAACCTTCTTTTCATCCTTGATTGTCGAATCGGTTCGTTTTGAGATTTTTTCGGTTCGATTTCAAAAAAACACGAACCGATCCCATCACCGGTTGTTTATTCTTTTAGTTTATTGTATTGAGTTCATGAGGTAGTGATACATTGTATTTGGATATGAATTATTTTCATCAGCAACTATGGTTGCTTGCATAGATGATTTAGCCAAAGCAGCTAATAATGAACACTTTCAGAGGAAAATAAAATCATTTTAATGTCGTTATAATCATCTAAGGATCCATTTTTAAGAATCAGAAAAGATCTGCTAGAATAGCCACATAGAACTTAATTGTTTTTGTGCAAATAAGACAGTTGACATGTAAGAATTATTATTGAACATAAGATCTGAAGAGAGAAAGAGGTTTTCTGCTCGAAGTTGAACAAAAAGGTGAGTAAATTTTTGAACGAATTCTAATAAACTATTTTCATATGTATGAAGAACGCAATACTGCTATATAAAACTGGAATTAAGAGGTACCTTTATGACTGTTAATGAACCATCTAAAAAGACCTCTACTTGAATCCAAATTTTCTATCAAGTGACAATTATTTTTTTGAGTATGACCGATAGTATTTTATAAGTTGATCTATCATCATGATTTGATTTCTTTATTCATCTTCAGTCAAAGGAGATGTTGAGAAAATCAGAGAGGGATATACGTACATTGCAATAAAAAATATCCCACTAAAACTTATCACTGATTTCAATTACATAGTACTTTCTTATTATTGTTCGGTAGCCATTGACAAAATGTTTTCATATTGTACAAACAACTATTAAAATTTCATGAATGTAGTTGAAGATTTATATTAAGGTGAACTATTTAGTTCAAATCGATGTTCGATACAGTCATATCAATTTCTAATTATATTCATTTCCAGCTGAATCGGATAGATATAGAAAAAGAATTATTTTTTAAGATATGTTTGACATTTTGTTCAATGAAATGATTTTTGAAAATATTCGTTAGATTTCGAGAAGTTATTATTTGGCAGATGAAGCAAACAAAAAGCTTTGTCATAAGCGCATCAAATTATTTTTCTATGTTTTGTTTACAAGTCATAACGATGATTCTCAAACCAACTAAAGTGGACAATGATTGTATTCAGTATTAAATAATATAGGATTAGATAAACAAAAAAAACTTTATTTATAATCTAAGATCTATTATTGAATAATGAGTAAGAAAACGTATGTTAGGTTTTTTCCAATATATTCTTTTTCATACTTACAGAAAAACTTCAATTAGAATTAGTTGTACGAATAGATAAATGATGTCATATATTCAATCACTTATAAATCCAACAGACAGATAGATGCATTATTTTTTAAAGATTTTCTTAATATCAATACTTTTGATATTCATAATTCTTTGATCTACTTTTTATTGAATTTACCGAAGTGAGAAATAGTGGATATTATTGAACTTATTATTTATGAATATTATTAATATCTACTGAAAGCCATAGACGACGAAGTTGGGATACTGAAAGGCTGAAGCCTATCTTCAATTTAAGGATCATAAGCTTAAATATTTATTTCTCTTTTCATCAAATTGATAAATTTATGCAATACATCAAAATTCTTATACAAATATCAAAAATTTTTCATTACTTTCGATCCCTAATATTGATATTTCCATAGTCAAGCAGATTTCAAAAGCGTTCTTGAAGAAACATTGACTTTTATATGAATCCATGTTAAGCCCTATATTGAAACGTGGATTTGAAGAAATCCACGTTTACTAAAAATGAAGAAGAAAAATACGAGAAAATTGAGTGAGATGAACTAAAAGATGTCGAGAGTTTTCTTTGACTTCAATTGTTAAACTTGCATACCTAAGAAAAATTTTCAACAAAGTAAGCAAAACTACAATGTATTTTTTTTTCCAACACTGCTATCTCATCAGGATTTTGTTTCTCAGAAAAGTAGATTGAAAACTCTTCTCTCAAGAATCGAAATAGAATAAAAACAATGTTAGCGTGTTTCATTAGGTGCACATATTTTGATACTAGTTGCATTTTTTTTCTCTAAACCGTACTGACTACTTTATACAAAGTAAAATGTAAGTTAAAAATAAGAAGCACTTGCTGTGTTTCATCGAAATGATATGACAAAGTTTCTCCTTCTTCTTCTTATTCTAGACATCCCGATAGTGATGTTATAAAGAAAATTCGAATTTATTACATATCCATGTCGTAAAAGATTGAACATTTCTGTTTTCTACGTTGTTTCTCTTATAAAGTGAATTTCTTCTATGAAATTTTAGAATCAATTAAAAGAATGATAATCATGAACAATCTTTTTTCTTTCAATTTGTATAATATGAAAAGTCTTCTAAAATACAGACTCTTCGATGTTCGAAAAATTTATTTCTGTTTAATCATTATTTGATTTTATAACTCAACATGTATAGTTGTCAAAAAATTACTCTTTGCTTATTTTTAATTCAGCTCGTTGATTTTTTTTCATTTAATTATATTCTCTTTGTTTCTCGAGCGCTTCGTCGCCTTGATTGTATTTGCTAAACAATAAACTTCATTCTATATAATACAGCAAGTAAAATAAATTAATCTAATGACATTTAATAAACCATTTAAAACTAAGACAGAGATTGACTGATGCATCAATACAACTGGTAGCAATTCAAGACATAGAATCCTCAATGCTGATGTTTAGAGAAAAACATATGATCTGTATTACAAAGGTTGCAATGAAATCATTGCAGGCATCGTTATTGTTCTGATTTCTGGATTGTTTTTTGTGTATGTTCCGAAACCTGGCTAGTTATGAAAAAGCTAACCCAAAAAAAAACAAAAGCATGTTTTTACTGTAAGAAATCAACATTGAATTATGCCGATATAATATTAAATGTTGCACAAGAAAAACAAACGAGACGCCAACAAAGTTTTTGTTTGATTTACTTTGGTTTCGATTTTCTTCTTCATTTTTAATTAATCAATATAAAATCATGAGTATGTAGTGATGCCCACTCATTTTATTGAAAGAAATGACAGAGACTGAAAAAGAAAAGAATAAAATATATGAAACCATTTCTTTTTATTTAAGTATAATTCTGCTTCAACACAGTTGTTCGTCAGATTTTATTCTTTTCATAAAATTAAACAAAAGTCCAATTCAATATTTAATAAGAAATTGATTAATTGAATCTAGTATCAACTGTCTAAGTAAATAATAATATGTAAGTTAAATTGGATTTTGAATAATACAAGTGTGTTTTAGTTTCTCGTTTTTAAAATACAAATTTTAAATCCTGAGTCATAAATATTGTTTTCTATAAGTCGCAGATTAAGTTCATTCATTTTTTTATGTAGGTCTGTCACACCTAGTCGAATGACTACTCATCAACCACAACTATATTACAGACCAATTAATAATACATTCAATTTAGTAGCAAACGAAAAAGTATATCGTGAATGGGATTATACAGACAATTTATGCTGTTGTAATAGCTCATATCATACTGTTTTAACTGATATTCGACTTTTGACTCGTTATCAAGAACATGTTGGTAATGCTGATGATTCAGAATCTTCACATACTGATTCGGCTATTTTCTTACGTGATATTAATCAAATTCGTGAATGTCGTGGCGAACAACCAACTTTTTTCTTTCTTCTTTGGATAACATTATTATGTGCATGGCCATGTTATCTTTGTCGTCGAGTCTTTTGTCCAAAACCAAAATGTCTCGAAGTTTTTGGTAGATTTGGTTCAGAAGTAGTTCGACTGAAACGAGAAGATATGTCAGCAGCTCAAGTCGATATATCAACGGCGGTTATCAATAGCAAACTTGTCGGACGATAATAAATACATATTTTGAACTAATTCATTATTTCTTTTCATTTTTTTATGTGAAAATAATGTAATAACTTTATGATTATGTAAAACAATAACAACATCATAATACATAAAGATCATTGAATAAATATATTTTAGACTAACCATCTATAGATGAAAATATTTTCATTTGTTTCAAAGATGAATTTCGATAATACTATCAAACAAAATATATGATCAAACTAAAATAATTATGTGCAAAACTATGAAGTAATTTTTTTTTTATTTAGAAAACATAGCACATGCCTACTTTTTTTTACTATATAAAGTATTCATTTTCACTACCTCATACTTTAATGTATTTTAAAATGATTTCTGGTGCATTGACATCGAACCATAGTTTTTGAAAGTAAATTTATGAACAAGCGAGGTAGTACTTTAAATTTATGAAATAAAAAAATCTAAGAGGAAGCAGTTATTGTTCTAGTAATTGGAATACATAAACTAAACAATTCTTCATTTTTTGCGTTGAAAAGTAACTTAAGAAAACTTCACAGTATAATTTATTTATACGCTATATATGATTTGTGCGACATGTCAAACTCGAAGACAAAGAAATATTGATACAAAGCTTATAAGATCCTCTCTTTTTTTTCTACTTCAAGCTTCGTAAGACAAACTAGTCTTTAATTGAAAACACTCGCGAGCTGTACAATTTCTTAAATTTAGTTAGTTTCAATTTAGTTTGAGTATAATTTAATAGAAATATATGAGATCAGTTGTTTGTTCTCATCTTTTTTGATTTTTTAAAAAATTTTTAAATCTTTAAAAGCTTTATTTCATTTTGTTTCACTTTCAACTTTGCGTTACACCTTTTCTTTATTTATTGGATAAGTAAAAAAAAATGACATACTATCGTACGGTACAAAAGTTGAAAAAAAAACAACTTTCAAAACAAAAGTTAAAATAAATTCCTATACATCATATGTATCTACACGAAAAACTTTACAGTGTGTTAGTAGTCAAGCTTAATTAATATTTTTAAACAGAAATCATTATGTGTATATTGCATTTAAATTGCAGAATCTGAATAACTTCGATGTCGTCGAAATAGATGTCTACGTCGACGCTTTTGAGTTTGATTTGATGAAAATTCAGTAATTTGCTCATGATGTCTTTTAACTTTATCAAATTCATCTAAAATTTGTTGACAAACTTCAGCAGGATAACCGGAAACAGCTGATGCAAACTTGATAATTCTTGGAACTTCATGATTATCATCATATTGCTCTTGTTGATCTAAATCCGTTAATGATGATGATGATGAAAATGTAGACTGTACAGAAAGTTTATTGATTATAATGTGCTGTTCATTTGCTCCATGTTTTTTGTTGTGTTTCTTCTTCATACTAGCATACATACCACGACCTAGCCAAGTGACAGAGGCAAGTGAGCCTGCAAGAGGCTTTACAAAACCATTAGCAGTAGCTACTAATGCTCCCGTAGCACCACCTAATATGCCATGACGGCGATAACCTACACGTGGTTTTCTAATGAATCCGGTTATGCCATCTTTCCAACCGTGCTTAATCGAAAGACCAGCAGCTTTAATGCCAGATTTGAAATCAGTCACATGTGATCTTTCATGTGTATCTAATTCACTTAATTTAAATTACAATTTAAATATAGAAATTGAACACCTTAGTTCATTGAGAGATATAATTTTACCTGTATGGATCATATAATGATGGAACACGACTAAGAACATCTGTCATTTCGCCATATAACGATACGATTCCGACGGATAGGTGCCCAATACCTTTAACAATATCTCTGAATACGCCGGTGACGCCACCAACAATTCCTGTTATTATATTGGTACTACTGATGGCTCGTCTCATGCCGCTTGTAGTGTGAATAAATATATAAGAAAAAGCTTTGTGTGTGTGTTTGAAAACACCACTCGTCGGCACATGCATACGATGATCATATATAGATGCCCATTCTCGAGTAGGATAAAGACGAAATTGTGATTCATCTAAAGCACCTGCTGCAACAAGGACTTGAGCTACTGGTCGTGACACTTGTAAATCAAGTTCATCGACACGATAGCATGCAGCAAATGTTGACTCAAGATCGCTACGCATACGTGAAAGAGGTAGATGAGCATGAAACATGCGCAATGCTGTTGCACATCCATCTTCATGAGATAAAATTTCACGAATACGTTTAGCAGCATTTTGCATTGCTGGTTGAAGAACTATTTTAAATGCTTCTACTAAATCATCAACTGTTACATTTTTTCCAGGTATTGGTGAAGGACCAACACCATTCTTTTCGACAACATCACCCCAAAAAAATTGATCACCAAAAAAAGGTAAAATGATGGTTGGTTTACCTGCACGAAGACCTGCTGCAGTGGTACCTGCTCCACCATGATGACATACAGCCGATACTAGAGGTGCACAATGAAAGATTTAAGTAAGAGTTTTCAATTTCAATATAAACTATACTTGCGTATAAAACATATAAAAAAAAAATACTGTTTGTAAAATGATTTGCCTGATGAAAACTTTCGGGATCTTAGTAGAAAAAAATAAATCCAATAAAACCTATTTGCAACTTCACTATTTTTGAAAAAATAGATTTCTGAATATTATTCCAAATCCGTTCATATATGTAGTTTGAATGACTTAAATCTTAATTAAAATTTTACTTACCATGTTCAAATAGCCAATCATGTGGAATATCATCGATTTTAAAAATATTATCAGGTAGTTTATCATCATGTTTATCAAAACCAGAAAGTAAAGCACGATAGCCTGTCCTTGCTAAAGCATCCAATATAACTTGAAAAAGACTATCTAAATCATTTCCTGTTATAGAACCAAAACCTATGTATATTGGTGGTAATAATTTTTCTTTATCTCGATCATCACTGTTGAGACCAAGAAAAGCAGCTAAATCATCTGGTGGTTTGTAATTATCATTATCATGATTGAGAAAAAAATAACCTGAAACATCAATATGTGGTGGCCAGTCATATGGTCTAGGAACCAATGATGATGACCAGCAATAAGAATGCGGTACACGTTCATCGATTAACAGACGTACAGCTTGACGTGTATGGATTGATGGAAGACCCAATGTTTCTCGACGAAAATCATTGACAAGATCACGCATACCATACCATGTCTGCAATTAACAAATGTTTGAATGATATTACATAGAACAAATTAGCTATCAAAAAATTTCATGTGAACTCATCATATAGTATATAAAGTCAGAAAGTTTCTATAATTTTGTGAGAAGACTTACAAGAGTATCCATAACACTGTATGAAAGAAGATTAAGTTTTTCTTTTGGTAGTTTTGAATAGTCGACTCTACAAAATGCATGTGGAAATACAGTTGTAGCTGACCAAGGCATAGTAAACATTATATGTAATGGAATTTGTAATTTTTGTGCACAATGTACATGACCAAATGATGGTGGATTAGCAATAATAACTTCTGCTGTAAATGAAGCTGATGTTTCATCATCATTTTCTGTACATGCAAGCCATGTAGATACAAGAATGTTGGAAATATCACGACGGTATTTTTTCAGATCACCTGCCATAACACTATTCATTGATGGAACAAGACCACCATTTTTAACCATAAATGACATTAAATCATCTGGATTAGAAGCTAATGGAAAAAATTCTAAGTCATGTTCACGAACATATTTTCGAAATTTTTCATGTGTTGCCAAGCGAACACGATGACCAGCTGCATGAAGTGTTTGACCAAAACTAGAAAAAAATCCGTTACTTTAGATCTATCAAAGATACTAACGCTTGAACAAAGATCAAAAATGAAAATACAAACTTACGCAATAAATGGTTGTACATCACCTCTTGAACCAACAATAAGCATAACAATAGTTAGATGAGGTACATGGAAATCTTCGATATCTGTTTCACTATGAATTATTTGTGGGACTGTTAGGTCAAGATTTTCATTCATATCCAAATCAGATAGATCTTGTTGTTTTAATTTTGGATTAAAACCAATATCAAATCGACCATCAGTATCATTAAAACGAACCAAATAATCAAGAACATGATTTTTTCTCAAGAATAACGTCGTCGAATTTTTTTCCATATCAACATGAGTATTTTCTTGTTCAATTGCATAAAAAATTTCGTGTGATAAGAGTAGATAAACATTTAAACATAGAGAAGCATTTGTACAATGTACTATTAAAGTATTTTTGTGTTTATCATTTTTTGAATTATCTTTATATAGAAGTTGTTCAGTCAAATCAATCGATATTTCTGGTGAATGAAATGAGTCTGAAAAGATTTGTATTTCATTTAACCATACTGTAAAAGTATTAACTGACGAGTAATTATTTACACAATCATTGGGTGACTCAAATATAAGAAAGACTTGTTGGTTTGAGTCATGTTGGCGAGCGTTCCATTCAAATTCTTTGAAATACCACCAATTTTGTTGATCGTTAATAGTAATATGATTGCTTTCGCGTTCTTTATTAACAGTAATATGTGGTAATCGTATAGGAGTCCAATAGCAATTATTGTTACTAAGTGTATTTGTCATAACACGAATATTGATATTATCATCAATTGAACGACGACAACAACGCCAATCACAATTAAATTTAATTTTTAATAGTTTGTCTTTGTCTATCGACATAATCTTTCACTATAATGTTTCAATAAGAAAGAAGAACGTCTGTCTGACTTTACTATTAAAAGCGTCTTGTATTCACTATCTATCAAACAACTACAAAAAACGATTCTTTTTTTGTTTATTTATATTCTCTCGTCAATGCATATATTATGATCACGTTATAGTTACGCAAAACCAGATAAACGAGTACATAATGTATGTATTTCATACATGTATTTCTTCCTCTTTTTTTTATACCTCATAGTCACTTCATAGTTAGAATTAGTTTTTGTTTTTTGTATACGTCATCAAGTACACTTTTGATTATTCAACATATGACCTTATTTGACTTTAATCACGTGATCAAAAAATAAGTGATCAATCGAAAGAATGTTTTAACATACACTCATACAAAGAAACACTATAATTAGAATATCTTGTATTTTCCATTGTCTAAATTTAACGTATTAGCTGATAGAATTTACTGATCGGTATTCAAAATCTCCTTTCAAACTTACGTTAGACTTTCATCTTCTTGCATAATAAAGGATTAGAATAAAAAAAAAACGTGCTTCATATATCACACAAATGATCCAATGATGCAAAAAGAGGATGATAATATTATACATTTGTTTAACAACTCAACAAAAATAAATCTCGTGATAAAGAGACTGATTATTGCATAAATAATAAGTGTGCTATCTGTTCACATTTAAAAAATTTATATTCATATCAGATAAAATGCATTTAAAAAAATGATAAAGACTTGATTATTTATTTACAATGTATCGACGTATATAATATGAAATTAAGATATCAGATCGACACATTAGATTATGAATTTTTAAACATTATATTATCTGTTACTTTTATTAGTTAAATTCACTGCATGTAATACAACTAAGAGTAACGAAAATTTTGTTTTTTTTTTTTGTTGATAATATAATTTATTTTGAATTTCAATTATTTGTACCTGGTAACTTATAAAATTATAACTTAAATTAAACTGTTTTATTTGTTAACATCAATGAGAGCCTACAAAAAGTAGTGGCACAAACATTATAACATATATGCCAAACTTGAAAGTGAAATTTGATTTAACTTGCACACACGCATATATCTCTCTTAATGTCACTGTTATGGAAACATTTAAACTTGAAATCAATACTGTTGATTATAATCATGATAAATTCCAAATGTTTGAAATCATAAAACATGTCTTTCGTTTAGATAAATAAAATTGTCTCTCTTATTGGATAATATTCTTGTTACTTGAGAACACTACTTTCTTCTTCAAATAATTGATCAACATTTAACTTGAAGAATGCTTGTCGTTTTTCTAGTTTGCTAGAAAAAATACTGATTTTCAAACTAATCAAAATAATCGATATGACATAAAGATCCTAAAACCTGATGCATTGCTATATTTCTTTTTTAGATTATAAAGCAAACATACAATTCCAGAATATAAGATCAATTCTTTACTTGAATGAATATTTTTCTAAGAAATTCATTATTGATATTAGATTATGTGCTAAAAGATGAATAAAATTTAAAATTACTTCTTTTTGATATCATTTGATTCTAAATTATTTTTGAAAATTATTTTAATACTTCAAAAATCGAACAATATAATCATTATATAAGTTCTTTCACACACATGATGATATTCTTTTCTCATTGATTGATACGTTTTCAAAAATCTTTTTAGTTCCGAGAAATCTTGAAATGAAAAAGCGAGCAAAAAATGCTATAGACCGTAACAATTAGATATCAGACAAGAACGTTCCTTAAAACTGATCTTGGATTTTGAAAATTCTCAAAAAACTAGTACGTATTCGTATATCGTGTCAGTGGCGACACATAATTTTAATATGTATTTACGACAACGACAAAGACATGACTACACCACTAAAGTAACTATTCTGGTGGCTTAATCGATCGATTTACATCTCTAATCATCGATGAAAGCATAACCAGTAGAAAAATACAGATCCTATCAATTCTAATTTATTAATTTACAAAATGAAGTGTATGATTTCGATTTCTGTTCATTCTAGTGAAAAAGCAATATTAAACTCAAATTAAATAAATAAAGTCTATTTAGTAACATAGCTATCCTTTATGTCGATAAAGTCTTGCATTGACAAATTGCATATTTTCTGTACTATTCGTTCTCATGCGTCTGCGTAACATTTTCATTAGAGTTCTTCATTCATCTCTCGAAATAAAATTCAATAAGTGATCTGTTGTCTCGACTGGCAGTTCCTCACTTCTTGCAGTTCATCCACTTTTCACTTTTTCTTTTCATCTCTTGAAACGACGTCTGTAAAAATATATAATTTCGATCCCTGTTAAGAGAAAGACAGTGAAAGCAAAAAACTCAAAGTTTTATCTATAAAAAAAACATAAGATAAGAAGAATAGATGTATGTTGACAATAGTTTACCTCTGTCATACGATTCATGAATTATATATAGTATCCCTAGGAATCTCTCTAGAATAAAAATACTCATGTTTTCTTTAGTCATATTTTCTGTCTGTACGATTGTCATTTATGCAATTCATTTAATTGAGTACTATGTACTTTTTTCTAAATTACAATTTGTTTTTTTGTTGAATTAGATCTTCAAATGAAAGAATTCATTTCTCAACAAAACTTCAAGAATCTGCTTTGACTCATCAATTTAAAAAAAAGAACTTTACATTTATATGTAACATATTTGTAGCATGATTCTCTTCTAACGTCATTCTATTGAAATTTGGCGTACAGATTTTCACTCTATACTACTTTTCTTTCGTGAAAATTATTAAAATTAAATTGTGCATTTTGGTAGATAGAGAACTAATACCTGTTATTAGAAATTTTGTGTATTGTCAATGATAAAAAAATAATTAAGGATGAAGGTATGCAAGTATGAATAAAGGGTCTTCCATCCATAAATGCACCTCACACTCAATCAAAGATACAAATATGAAAGATGCATATAACATTTAGGCGAAAAAGAATCGTATATGTACTGACGTTAACGATTCTGCTTTCTCATTGCATTTGTCGCTTTGCACTTATTTCAGTTCTCTGTGTAGGCCAAAAATTTCATAACCGTGATAAAGGTTGACAACGCATTGTCAATAAACACATGGTTATAAAGAAAAATAAATTTCAACAGGCATTCGCTGTCACCAAACATACTATTCGAAAGGAAGCAGCATTAATGTGTGATAAAATTTCTTTTTCTCTTTTGACTTTACCTGTTGAAGTTATCTATCGTATTCTGGACAATCTCAATGACTTAACAATTTTATGTTCAGTTCGTAATGTTTGTACACGATTGAATTCGATTACTGATACATATCGTCGATATCAGGTAAATTTCAATTTTATCATAGAGTCTAATTTTCGATCACCATTGATGGACAATTTAGTTCAACACATGAGTATTTTAAGTTTTTTACATGTTGACTTTTAGAATAATAATACTTCGAGGCAAAGTTAGAAATATTAAGCTTTTTTCGTTATCGGCATTGCTAACGATCTAAACCGATAGATTGCACCGAATTAGACGGTACAGGCATGAATCATTATACGTGGGCGACACATGCAATAAATCTAGTATACGAGCTACAAATAAGTTTATGATAAATTACAATACTAAGTAATTAGTATATGTTATGCATGTATGTACATTTTACCTTCTACTTCAGTCCTTATATAATAACATTCATTTTTTTTTACATCGAATTTCTTTGCATTACTTGTCATAAAAAAAAAAGGACAAAAAATTTTCGCTTTTAATGGAATACAATGAGAAAAGGCTTATCACAGCCGTAGTAAAAAGTATTATCAAGGGTAAAAGACAATAAACGATTCCAAAATGTTTTCAACAAAGATAGAAATATTAACAAAAGACCGGTTATTTCAATTAACAAGAATCGAACCAAGAACTGCAAATAAATAGAGAACTATTAAAATGAATATGCTGCAGATACTTGTTGTAGACTTTTGCACTGGATAACATGGATTCTGCAAATAGTTAGATATTAAAGTATTTCAATATCGCCTTTCTCTTGTTGTCATAAATGAAAATTGAAACATAAATCATTTCCTTTTGCTCAAGACAGGAGAGCAAAAAATTTTTACTTTACTTTCCTCTGTGGAGGCGAAAATAACGTGAAAGTATCATTCCTATTGTGAATCTCTAATTTTCAAATAGACACTCACCACACTTCAGCTTCGCTGGAATCGATTTCGAGAGCAAGAGGTACAGAGTCTTGCTAATGCTTTTGTAAGCAACACGGTAATACACCATTTGCTACTCATCTTTCTCTTGTCAATCTCTACTTTTGTTACAGACAATCACCACACTCAGCCTGTATAATAATCGAATCGGAGACCAAGGCGTACAGTATTTTGCTAATATGCTCATTAAAAACAGGGTAATAAACCATTTACTACTCATTGTCGGTTTTTGAATTTCCACTTTTTACATAGACACTCACAACGTTCGATCTTAGCGACAATTCAATTGGAGACCAAGCAGTACAGTACCTTGCTGATGCTCTCACAAAAAACGCGGTAATTCACCAGCTCCTATTTATCTTCGTCTTGTCAATTTTCACTTAGCGCACAGATACTCACCACATTCAATCTATATAATAGTCAAATAGGAGATCGAGGTGGAGAACATCTTGCTAATGTTCTCAGGAACAACACAGTGATACATTATTTACTACTTATCTTCATCCTGCTAATCTCCACTTTACACATAGACGCTAACCATACTCATAATTAGCAGCAATGAAATCGGAGACGAAGGAGCACAACATCTTGCCAATGCTCTCACAAACAATAAGGTAACACAAAATTTACTATATATCTTCATCTGCTCAAGAACTACTGTTCCCACAGACACTTACCACACTGAACCTTCAAAATAATGTCATTGGACACCAAGGAGCACAACATATTGCCAATGCTCTCACAAACAACAAGGTAACACACAATTTATTAATCATTTTCGCCCT